TGAAGAGGTTTTTTTATAAAAAACAAACAACACCTTAATCATATGTTATAAATTACGTACAATAGTTTTACTTACCAATTACTTATCGAATTTAGGCAACCATTCACTAAAACTAGATTACTAGAAGATGACTAGATCACTAACACTCCTCATGAGTTTATCGTTGTTTGTTGAATAATTTTATATCATGTTTCGATCACTTATTGACTTATTGTTTATCATGTTTCAAACATTTTCTTTGCTTAGTTGCCAATTTTTTTTATTGAACGTGATACATAATACTTCTTCTTTATAGATTTTTTTGTTGAGGTGTCAATTTTTACGATGCAAATGCCACATCAACATTGTAACATGCCCAACCGACCAAAACTTGACTAAAGAGACCTAAGGAACACATTTCATTAAGTAGTTACATTGGTTATATAGACGAATTCAATGGTTATAATGAGATAGATAAAAGATATGTCGTTACTTTGTAGCAAATATAATATAAAGTTATAACAAAAAATTAATTAAACATGTTAATGTTATTGTTGTTCAACCATTTTTAAGTTAAACTTGATCATATTCTACCGTCAATATTTATTTTTTGTATTATAAGTCTCTGAGTAGTCATTTTACACGTTAAAAGATAAAAACTGCTACTTAGTTTGTTTTAGGGAAAATGATTTGCGAGTGTAATTATCTTTTCGTCTTGTTCACGTTTAGGTAACTTCATTTTTTTGTACACATTTGACCATTTAACTTGTTAAATGTGTTCACATATTACCATTGTCACCTGCTATAGCAGGTGACAATGGTAATATGTGAACACATTTAACAAGTTAAATGGTCAAATGTATACAAAAAAAAAAATTTGTTTAAATGTGAACAATTTTTTTTTACAAAAATTCTTAAAAAAAATTATAATTTCTTACAACATTTTTATGATATTTTTTCCTACAAATTTTCTAATACAATGTTTTGAATCTTTGTTTATAATTTTTTTGAACTTTTTTTATTCTTTCATATAATTTTAATACAACTGTTTTTAAACCAAATATTTTATAAATGTTTTAAATTTTCCTTACAAGTATTTAACTTGTTTTTTTTTTTTTTTTTTTTACATTTTCATACAATTGTTTTATAACTTTCATACATTTATTTTTAAACTTTCTTTTACAACATTTTTAAAGTGTTTCACATATTTTGTATGATAGTTTAATATTTTTTAATAACATTTTAAAATACTTTTGTTAAATACTAGTTTAAAACGTTGTATTAAAACAATTAAAAGTTTATAAACTTCTAAATAAAAATTATTAAAAAGTAGGAATAAGTTTAAAACATTTACATTATATATATATTTTTTTTGTTTTTTATTTACTAAGTAATATTTTCTTTTTATTTTTTAAAAGACCCTCTATACTTATCGTTACATATTTAATTTATTTAATTTTATTATTAGATACTATTTACTTTAAAAATATTGTATATGCTTAAAAACAAAAGAAAAAAAAGTTCTAAGAGACTATATAAAATATTTCACAAAACAAAAACATATTTATTAATTTAAAAGTAAAGTTTAAAATTGATCAATATTTAATAAATATTTAGGAAATTATGGATATTTTAAAAATAACGTTTGAAAAAAATAATACAAACAAATATGAAAAATAAAATCGCTATTAAAAGTGAGGGAAATGACTTATCAGGGTAATTACTTTTTTGTCTTGTTCACGTTTAGGTAACTTCATTTTTTTTATACACATATAACAAGTTAAATGGTCAAATGTGTACAAAAATAAAAAAGTTACTTAAATGTGAATAAATCGATAAAGATGATTACCCTCGTAAGTCATTTTCCCTTTGTTTTATTGGTTACACCTAGCTTATGTGCCTTTTTTTCTTTTCTTTTTAAAATTAAATATTACTATGACGTCAATATTTTACTACCTAACCTAATTACAAAAGTAGAAAAAAAATATGAAAATGTTGTAAATAAATAATAGGGAGAATATTTAATTATAGGGAGAATTTCATATATAATCTTATTAAACGTCAAAATATCATATTTACACAACTTAATTTTTAAATATCATAATTACTCTTTATAAAATTTTAAAATATCTTAATATGCCCTTTTTAAACATCAAAATATCATATATGCCATTCATAAACATCAAAATATCATATATGTCATTCTTAAACATCAAAATGTCAATGATAATATCTAAAATATTCTTCATCTAAAACATGACAATATTCAACAACACAAAAAACTAAGCAATCAATGCACCCATTTCATGGAGATGGTTGAAGATGAAGCCTTTTGTTTGTAAAGATTACGACATTCCAATAATTTAGAAGTAGACGTTTCATTATTATAGATGTAGGGATAACATGGTCAAAATAATTTTAAGATATAAAAAATGATTATAAACTATTAAAAACAAAGTAAAAAAAAAATTTTCGGGCAAATATGATATTTTGAAGGTTTATAAAGGGTAAATATGATATTAAGAAATTACGTTAAACAGATATGATATTTTGATATTTAAGAATGACATATAGGAACTGTATCAAATATTGGAAATGTTTCAACATTGATTTTTTTTAGGGTTTTGCTTTAATTCTCATTGATTCTCTAGTCAAACTTTTGTTCTTGTTAATTCTCGGAGTTCAATATCACTGACTAGCGAGGGATGTGGTAGAGTACTCGATTGAGTTAATTCTCATCAATGATGGGTGTATGTATACGTTTTGATTTGGAAGAGGGTGTCATTGTTGTTGGTGATAGTGGTAGAACAAGATTTGAAAGCGAACACGACGTTGTTTGAACGATGCATGAGATAATTGGGAAGAGGAACTTTGAAGATCTAGGATTTGATGAAGGTTTACAATATGAGTTTTGATTTGGAATCTTGTTCAAAACATTTGTTTCTTGATTTCTTTTAATATAAAAGGATTTCGTTATGAGTTGTATTTGGTTTCGATTTGGAATCATGTTCAAGAGGTTCAAATGATATGATCTTATGTTAACGTTTGGTTTATATGGATTTTTTTCACTCTTTCCTTTTAGTTTAAGCTCTTGTTGGTTTTGATTGTTATGTTTGTTAATGAACGGAAGATGATAGTGGGATGTAAAAGATGGTATGAGGGAGGTGGAAGGTAGGGTGTTATCAGATCAGATGAATAATAATAATAATAATAATAATATTTGTAAAGTTAACTAGAAAATATCATTGAAAGAAACTAAATGAGTATCATATCAACGCAACACATTTAAGTCCAATCGATAAAAATGCAACTTGGGATGCCACATCACTCTTGTATCCGCCACCTAAGCTTGATCACCATATGATTCTTTCATATTTGTCAAAATAGCATTTTTTTCATATTATTTTTAAATTTTAATGATTTAAACATATAAAAAAACAATACTTACTAATCAAGTAGGATCGATCTAAAGTGGTTAATTTAAAATTGAATAGATAGTTAGTAACTACATATAAACGGATTTAACAACCAGTTCCGGTTATAATTAGTTTTAGGCCCAATTCAAAGTTTTGAAACCACGCTTAAGGTAATGGATCTTGGGCTTGGTGAACAAAGGGCTCTAACAACCGTGTTTTTTAAACCCTTCTAAATTTCATTGTGTTTCACCATTGATTTCAAACTTACAACTTCATAATTTATGAAAAATCTTAAATAAAATGTCATCATCACTTTCCCTACTTTTTTTCCACATTTTTTCCTCGAAATTCAAGCCGGCACCCATGATGATGAAATTCTTGTTTACATAATGGAAGTGGCTTTTACAAAAACAAATAGAAGATGCAACAATATTGATAATGGAATTTATTTGTGTTGTGAAGGGGACAGGATGTGTTGGTACCAACTACCAAGAGTGTGTTATCAAGGAGTGAGGATGTGTTTTTAATAAGTGTAAAAGAATAGATTTGTGTTTTATTTGAAAGAGTCACAATGTGTTCTTAATGAGTATATAAGAAAGAAAATGTTTTTGGAAGAGCGATGTATTTTGGTTTTTTAAAATTCTTATATTAATGATGAAAGCTTCGTACACACCCTCCGGCCTTAGAAAAACAACAATTACTTTTTGAAATGCTTGTTAATACGAGTTAAAGGTTTCCTTAAAATATATTTTAACACAGGGAAATTACAAAAAAATAATGTGTGATATGACTAAAATCTATTGAAGGTTCCAACAAATACAATGATCAACTTTGACAGAAAAATGCGGTTTTCCTAAAACCAGTTGGGTGTTTGAAAATGCATAATTGAAGTGCTTACGGTTTAGCAACTCGTATTAAGACCTTTTAAGCGTTTACATATGATGATTTCATAAACATTTATTAGCTTAAACAAAGTTATTTTATAAATTAATCCATACTTATTTTCCTTAATGAATTTTTGATAGTTTATTTTTAAATTAAATATATATGCATCATATGCCAAACACTAAAAATAACTTATGAATTTATTACATTTTCTCTAAGTTAAACCAAACACCGATTTTTAAACTCCATTTTAGCACTAGATAAACTAAAAAACAATTACTAAAACAATAAGTTTAAAAAAAGATATACAAAACACAACATTAAATACAAAATTTGTCTGGTTCATCTTAAAACAAAAACATATTTTAACCAATTCAGATTTGGCCAAAACCGGTTTTTAAGAAATAAATTTTGTCAACTACTCATAAGATCATATTGTAATGACTCCCAAGGATTAATATTTCACATACTTAAAATAAGGGTATAATGAAATCTAAGAAAATAAAAAGTTCAAATCACTGTGTTTTACTTTGTATGAACATGTTCATTATTTATTGAGTGAAGCTAACAGTTATAAAGTATAGCATTTCAAATCATTCAACACAACCAGAAAAACACAAAATTGATCAAAAAGTAGTTTAAATCCAGCAAATTCAGAGTACTCTGCCATTGAAACTAACAGTAATAACCATAATCAACATCAAAAATAGAAAAACAAACCTAAGCAGTAAGAACAACAGCACCACCGGCCTCCTTAATTTTTTTCTCAGCACACTTGGAAATGAGCTTCGCCTTAACAACCATAGGATGTGAAAGAGGCACAGCTCCCTTTCCCAAAACCTTGAAGTATCCAAATTGAGTAACATCGACGACTGGAACCTTATCAGCTGAAGCCTTTTCCTTCGCGTCTTGTGGAACCATCGACCAGAGCTTGTCGACGTTCACGATTGGGCAGTAGAACTTGTTCCTGAGCCTGTGGAAATACCTCATACCGACCTTACCGAAGTAACCGGGATGGTACTTGTCGAAGAGGATCCGGTGGTGGTGCATACCTCCGGCATTACCACGACCTCCGGGATGCTTTCGGTGCTTTCCGATACGACCATGTCCAGCGCTCACGTGACCACGCTTCTTGCGATTCTTCCTCAATCTGGTCGTCATTATACCCTACACAGAACGTTAAATCACAAATCTCATACTCTGATTCATGTAGGTGCATAACAGTTTCTCTATATAAATCACAAATTGCGAAATATCCACCGACTCGATTTCGAGTTTGAAAAGAATATAAGACTAATGAGAATAAAATCTAGATCGGTAACAAACGAATGGTGTTCAGGATAGAATGCACAAACAAATCGGAAAGAGACGATTATGATTGATGATTGTCGATGTACATACCTGTTAAGCAAATTCCGGTGAATGACGGCGGCAGAAACCCTGCGTTAATAGTCGAGCGCAGGAAATGAAACCCTAACTTGGTTTTATAGCAAACAGGTAAGAAAATATGGCAGGGCGTATCACTTGATGGGCTTGAAAGTGTGGGCTTGTAGTCTACTAATGAAGGGCCATTTTATAAGACAAGCCCAACGTTTATCTTACGTAGAGAAAATAAAATGTCATAATAATTTATAATATGAGATATTGAGATATTCAAAAAATAAATAAATAAAAAGGCATAAGGTCTTTAGCCCACATGTATGAAAGTGGATGTGACAATTTTGACACATATAAAATGGGACAATTCGAGTTGCTTTTTCTTTTCTAATTTAATTGTTTAAATTAAAAGAGAAATTAGATTATTATTGTAAAAATATAGTTTTGATGCATCAAAATTTTCGTAAGATAAAAGAAATGAAGACTTGAGAAGGTAATATACTATGTTCTATGAGTATATTTAGTCATTATTTTGTATTTTAGTACACGAGCTTTTCTATTAGACTTTTATCAACTATCCAAAAATTGTTATTATTATAAGGTATTGTATGTTATGCTTCTTACCTAGAATGTTAATTACGTGGATATTAAATAGATAGGGTTAATCGCTTGAGATGGTAATGGACGTTCATTATACACATTTAGTTACTAAACATTTTTAACACGATTTATCAATGGGGTTTTCCCTTTCTATACTATTTAAGTTGATGAATTCTTATTTATGGAAGTAATGAACAAAAAGGCTCCCCCAAGAAGAAGCCCCAGTATGTGTGGTGGATAAATGATAGGAAAACTCGAAATTGAAAGTTCCTAGTATGTGTTTCATCTTATAATGAGTAGTATTAGTTTATAACTATCATAAAAATATTAATTTGCTTGATATTGGCCAAGTTAGTTCTAGGGATATTACAGTCGAGTTAACATTAGTTCTTTTATATAAAATTTCTTTGTTTAGGATTGTTTCATATTTTGCTTTTATTCTCATACATCATTTTGTATACTAAGCATATTAGGTCAATACTCAAAAATTTGTCCTAAATCCTCCTTTACTGTGATATCTTTTTCAGATTTTAGATAGAATCGGGACGCAATTCCCTAAAATCTAGGAAAAAGTTGTACTACTTCTATGACCCACAGGTTAGAAATTACTATTATGGACAAGGTCACCCAAATACCTAATGAAGCCATATAAAATGCATATAAAATTCCTATGACACTTGTTTTGTGGGAAAATACCGCCAATAGACAAAAAATAGGGGTCGATTTCAAAATTTAGTCATAAAAAATGACTTTTCCGGCTATAGACATGCATTTCGCGGAGGAACTCCGTGGAGCGATGTCATGTCCGCGGATTCTGAAAAGTTGTCTTTTTTTATTGTTTAAAAAATTGTTCCGCGGGGGTCCTCTGCGGAGACATTAACCCCTCCGCGGAGCGAGTCGTTTGGCAAAGCTTAAATCCCTCCGCAGAGCAGGCGACGAGGAGCTCCGCGGAGAGTTTAATGTCTCCGCGGAGTGAGTGGTTGCAATGTATTTGTGACGGTTTTTTGATATAAAGTTGTGTTTTCATTTTTTTTATCTCCATTTGCGTTCAAATTTGTTTAGTGTTACTGATTTTTTTTTTCAAAAGAATTATGAGTTTTGTTATTTTATGTACTGGGGGTTGTTGGCAGATAAGTAATGGGGTTAACACCTATATTAGACCTAAGTTTAACAACTTAGGTATACTGCTTCCGCCAAATTTTGATCGTCGAATATTGTTTGATTTGGTCAAAAGTAAGGCTAATGTGTTCAATAGTAATATATCATTGTCATTTCAACACCCGGTTCATGGGTATGTTATGAATATTGTAGACGAAGCAGATGTTCATCAACTCAGAAATGTAATTTATGAAACGAAGGAGATTGTGCATTTGTATTTGGAGGTGTTTGAGGGATGAGTCGAACAGACAGAAGCGGTTGACAAGATTGTACCATACAATGTTGAAAACATTGTATCTGATAATTTTGAAGATTGTCTAGAAGAAGAAACTGTGGCAGTGAATACAGTGGAAAAAGAAATTTATATGAGTTTGGAAGACTGACTGACAAAACTTTGTCAGACGGTGAAGAGTCAAATGAAGGCTCGTCAGAAGATGAGTTCACACACGGGAAAAAAGCTTCAGACATATTTTACAGTATGTCTCCCATACCTGATTGTCCTGATCTTATTGTTGAACCCGGGCAATTTCACAGTTTAGGTCCAAATGATGATATGTTTGTTCGTCAAATGTAACGCCCGTAGATCAGGGCTAGTCAATTAAGAGACAATAAGTGTCGAAAACGACTTTTTGATAGAAGGTTATTTAGAATGAATAGTCTTAATAAAATTTGTAGTATATGTTACAAGGATTCCAGATATATAAAGAATGCCGAAATCCGAGTTATAACGAACGAGTTATGACCTGTCGAAGTTTCGCGGCAGAATCGGCACGCCACTACGTGACGTAAATAGTGAATTTACTATAGAATGATTTTTAGTCTTAGTGATATAAACAAAAGTCGTAGAGTTCATTAAACCGAGAGCATGCATAAAAAGAACGCCCAAATCTGACTTCGTATGACGAAGTTATGATTTTTCTAAGTTTCAACTTTAGCAGTATGCAGCCCAAAACTCGAAATTTAGATCGAGTGATTTTTAGCCGAAACAATCTAAACGAGAATCGAAGATCTTGTTGATAGTAGTTCAACGGTAAAAAGATAGACGAAAACGGACGTCGGATGAAGTAGTTGTGAATTTTTTAACGGACTTTTCCTGTCCCGGCCCGTTAAAAATATAATATTAAAAATAAAGTCAAAATTAGCCGATGGAGTCTAAACGAAAGTTGTAGAGCAGAATTTCACCTACGCGTGGATATAAAGAACGTCAAAAACGGAGTTCGTATGTGAAATATATGAATTTCTGAAGTTCGGAGCACAAACTTCGAGACCTGACTGCGTTCACGACGTGAACACAGTGTTCACGACGTGAACTCAGTGAACGACACCTTTCGAGCCTAGAAGACACACGGCAAGCCTAGGGGATGACCAGGATCAAAAGTCACAACGTGAATATACCTGGTTCACGATGTGAATGTGAATTTTCAACCTATAAATAGGAATCGAAGCTCTCCGGATTTGGTTGCCATTTTCTAACCTCTCTCCTACTTTTTTTCATCTTTAAGCCCCTATACACTGCCCCGACACCCCAGTTAATATCGACACCCGAAGCAAGTCCCGACGCCCCGAAGATCCCGAAAAAGAGTTTTCGAGTCGAAACTCTGCCCGCGTGAAGCCCGGTTTTTTAGAAAACATCCCGGTTTCATCTAAGAATATTGTTTTAAGGGACGAAGTGTTGTCCAATCGTCGTCTTATCAAGTGAGTGTATAGTCACTTTCATCTTACACATAGATATGAAGTATTTTATATAAAATACGTGCTATGTGAATATATATTGTTTGTTTATTTGAGACGGGTAGATGAAATATTGTTTTATATAGATTCTAAATTGTATATGTATTTTATATGTATGAATATGTTGGGTAGAATGTGGGTAGATAAAGAATGAGGGATGAAAGATGATATTGATGTTATTGGCAGGTGCGCCTAATAAATAACATTGGCAGCTGCGCCTAATAAACAACAATGGCAGCTGTGCCAATTAGAGAATAAATGATGTTGTTGGCAGCTGCGCCTAATAAATAACCAATTAGAGAATAAATGATGTTGTTAGCAGCTGCGCCTAATAAATAACATTGGCAGTTGCGCCATAGGCAAAGGTTTACTTCGTGCCTATTCCTTAGGCCAATCCTTAGGAATGAAGGATAGATTATTCTTAGGGTAGATCCTTAAGATTAAAGAAGATAATGGGGATGGGTAATTGGGTTGATTGTTTGATGATTAAATATAATAATTATATTATTGTGGGTTGAAAACCCTATATGCTCACCAGGCTCCCAAGCCTGACCCATTCAGTTTTTCTGTAATACAGGTAGTGGAACAAGAGCATAGTTGGACGATGACGAGGGATTTTGGATTATAGACCAGTAGATATGAATAAATGTTGTAAGGCCTATATGGTACTGTTTATGCTTTTGGTCTGTATCAAAACATGACATCCCAAGGTTTTGTTATGAAATGGAAAATATATTTCTTTAAGAAATGATTTGATAAAATTCTTATCATATTTTGTTTTGGGAACAAATTCCGCAACACTTTTTTATCAAATGATTACTCTGATTTTATTTTAAAAAGCATAAAAGAAATCGGTCTTTTCTGACCGTGAAAATAGGGATGTCACATCAAACGTATGATAACAAACAACAACTAATATTTGCTTTGAGTCTTAAAGCAACCAGAGAAAAGTTTCAGTTTAAGACCAAACATTCTAACAAAATCGTTATGAGGTATATTGTGAAATTGAGAACTGTAGTTGGCGTTTATATGCAAAACCCATTCATCCCACTGATGAATTTGAAATCAGGACTTTCAACAACGTGCATACATGTTCGTCATTACAGATACACCCTAATCATAAGCATGCTGATAAAAAATTCATGGGTACTATATTACATGAGATTATGGGAAAAACTCGTTCCAAAGTTTGGAGGCCTAATAAAATATCAAGGGATTTGAATGCTTTGCTGGAAATCAATGTAAATTACAAACAAGCTTGGCGTGAAAAACAATATGCTATGGAATTGTTGTTGGGATCCTCTGAAGAATGTTTTTCCAAACTTCCTATTTATTTTCACAATTTGAAGAGGCATAATCCCGGTACAGTGGCCTATATACAAACAGATTCTGAAGATTGTTTTGAGTCTTGTTTTTATGCCATTGGGAGCACGGTAAATACAAAAAACTTGTTGTTATTTAATATATAATTATTTGTAAAAAAATTTAGAGTGTTTATGTGTTCCATTTTAATATATTGCAGATACGAGCGTTCAAACGTTTTTGTCGTAAAGTTATAATTATGGATGGTGCCCATTTGAAGGGTGATTTTAAGGGAACCATATTGCATAGATTAGCTATGGATGGGAACAACCAGATAGTTCCCCTTGCGCACGGAATATGCAAAAAAAAGAGTGGTCTTACTTGGACATGGTTTCTTGAAAAGTTGTATGAATGTGTTGGTGATTGTCAAGAATTGACTTTTGTAACTGATAGGGCCGATGCAATTCGGGTTAGTATTGAAAATGTTTTCCCTCATGTTCATCATGGCGTGTGTGCTTTTCATCTACTTAAAATATAGTACACAGGTTTGGGAAAAATGATAAAACAAAAGTGTTGTTTTGGAGGCTTGTGAAAGCTTACAAAAGAAATGTTTTTGAAGAATTGTGGTCTAGATTTAGTTCTACTAGGCCGCAAGTAGCGGCGTATCTAAGTGAAATTCCACGTGCTAAATGGACTAAAGCATATTGCCCGTCGAAACGGTACGATTACATGACCTCGAACAATGTAGAGTCCATGAACGCTTTATCTATAGATGCAAGGAAGATGCCTATAATACCCCTTCTTGAGTTCTTCCGTCGTCTTTCACAGGAATGGTGTAACAAGCGTCGCATCGATGGAGGTATGAATTTAATTACGACTTTAATTATCTCGAATAATAAGTTAATTATATATATATATATATATATATATATATATATATATATATATATATATATCCTTTACAGTGAAACGTTCAACAGTGCTAACCGAGTGGGCTGAAAAAGTAGTTAGTAAAAATGAATATCGTACGACATGATGGTCCGTTTCTGGTGTTTCAGATGCAATATATCAAGTGCATGATTTCAAACATGGTGGCATAGTTGATCTGAGGCAAGAGACTTGTATATGCAAATATTAGGAAGGAACTGGGTTGCCTTGTGGTTATGTCATAATGGTCTTAAAGCACTTGAAAAAAACTAACTTCGGACATCTGGCTATAGATGCTTACAAAATGGAAACGTTCCGAAGTACGTATGAGGAGCCGATTTACCCACTTCCAGAACCATGTGATTGGGAGATTCCTGCTGAGATGATGGTTGTTAAACCCCCGATAACGGATACACGTCAAGATGGTAGACCGAGAAACAGAAATCGTATCCCGTCACAAGGTGAGGAACCTATAGTAAGAAGGTGTAGTAGATGTGATAGTACAACACATAATGCAGCGACTTGTCCGACATTGGTCCCAATGAATCAAAAAAAGGCTATAAAAAATAGTGCGACATCAGGTAGTAACATAAAAGGGAAAGGGAAAGGGACACAAGGGACTCAGGAGACGCTAGAGACGCACGGGACACAAGAGACGCGTTGGACGAGTGGGACGCAGAGAGAAGACTGTTGTTCAACGTTTGATTTGAATGATTGATGTTGTATTTATAATTAATTATGTTTTGTTTTAGAGGACATTAATTTGTGTATTTTGAAATGATGTGTTTATTTTAAAGATGATGGGTAATATTATGATTATATTAGTGCATCATTGCTAGTAGAATAATAACTAAAACTCGAAGATAATACATTCAACAAACCAGAAACATATAGTAAACGTACAACAACAGTAATTAACTTAATGGAATTGCAAATGATACTTTTCTTTCTTCATTGTTATGTAGTCGTCCCTAATTCTTATTTTATCTTCCATACGGTCCTTTTGCCTCCCAAGTTCTATCATTTCTGCATCCTTGTCAGCAAGCCATTTTTCAGACAGTTTGATATTCTTCTTAGTTTTTTATCCATTCCTCATGATCTTTGATTTTTTTTAGTAATCGTCATCCTTTCCTCAACCTCTTTGCACTCCGCCGCAATGAGGTCACGACGTTCAGTGAGAGCTTGAGATGACTCTTTATCTTTTTTTTTTGTTCTTCAGCCCATTGTAGTTGTTGCAAAGTATCCTCAGACATATACGACTCTCTTAAATTTGGTGATGGGGCAAGAAAAGGGTCGATCGGATCATAATAGAAACAATCAACTTCGTTGCACGAGCAAATATACAAACTTGACGATGAACTCATTTTAAATTAAAAAAAATTATAACTCTATACCAAAAATCCAACGACCATCCATAACTATATATAGTCCCTTCAACTCCGCAGAGAGTTGTTGTCAGTCCGCATAGCTTTTTGTCAGTCCGCAATAATGTTTGTCAGTCCGCAGAGCTGTTTGTCTAGTCGTTGTCATCCATACATTACAATTATGGGAATACAATTATTTTATTTAAAGGTAAACATTTTTTATTAAAAACTAAACAACGCCAACAGACCATTACAACTACGGTTAACATAGAACTGAATACAAACTAATATTCGTTGTGATCCATATAATACAGTTCAATTGAATAGTCGTGGAGGTAAGACCACAACACTTTCAACTGGTATTTCTCAATGCCTAAGGGTTGGAATAGGATTGACCGTCTCAGTTTGATAACCATTTCGATACACCGCGATACTTAACTTTAAATTTACCATTTGCTGGATTTCTGCAATTTCAAGACTTTGTAGTGAAGCAATAGCATGCTCACAAGGTATACCGCATTTTTTCCATTTACCGCAACTACAAATACCACAGTCTAATTGCACAGATTCGGTTGTTGAATACTTACTCACTTCATATCTGTCGCCAACAATATGCCTAATCCTACAACCATCCGAGTGGATAAATCTTTTATGAATCACATTAAGTGCATAAGGGGTTAGAAGACCATGAAAATCCCCTGTGAAATGAACTGAATGTAAAAACAAAAATTATGATGTCATAACGTATAATAACATATCAATTGACCATTTGAGTGATGTCATAACTTATAATTACCTCCAAACGCAGCACGTTGAAGATACACTGCTTGCATCGAGTCATTGGACCATTTCAATGACAATGTCCTCATTTGCTTTTTCAGGACTCTCAACTATTTTTTTCTTCCTTGTTTTGCTGATTTTCTTCAATTTTGGTGTCGATTACATCTAAAAAATTAACATGTTAAATCATTATCAATAATGTAATATTTTATAAATATACGAAATTTAAAATATGAGTTTTGTACCATTGTGAACGGAGTCCGCTGATACCATGCAACAACCCTCTTTCGTTGCGGCCTACCAATAGGAGTCACTGTTTTTTTGTGATGTTCACCCACGTCCGGTGACGGCTCACCATGCGTAGGTGTACGCCCAACTTCCCCCTCGAAACCACCATATTCGAACTGTGTACCATGGTAACATGCTTCTTCCTCCTCTTCATTTATCATCTCCTCCTCCTCCTCCTCTATAAACCGTGTGTTTAACTCATCTTTTTTCTGTAATACACAATCTACTTTAGAAGATAAGTCAGCCACAACGCCTAGTAGACGCTTCAGTAATGCTTTTGTGCTAGTCTTCTTCTTCTTTACCACCTTCGTTGATGTGTCGCTTGACGTATAAGTTCTTTCTATTTCAGGATGTTGCGAGGAAGAACCATTTGTGACAGATTCAGTCGAAGATGTTTCCGACTTGTACATCTTTCTTCGAGGAGGTGAGGCAACAACAGGTGGACTATTTCGGACCGGACTATGTTGTCGTGGGGCCGGTGGGGGAGACTCTTCATGGCTAAGAGTCCAATTGACGTAGCGAACATAAAACGACAACATCAGCTTCGTCGCGTTTGCCACGACTCGAATAGGTTCGTTGTTAGGCTGCAAAAATTAAAATCAAATTGTTAGTTTAAAATGAAAATACATTGGAATTTGTAAGTATAAATAATCCTTAATATAAAAAGCATACCACATACACGTTGATTATTCGACGACAGTTATCCCAAGATAACGGTGTTTTACTTCTCCACGACCTCATTTGCGGCAATTCTGTCGGCGTGCGTATATAAAAATTGGTTGCATCGGGGAACGTCTCCAAAATCCATATCTATAGAAAAAAATGTAAGTGTCATGCTATTATAGTATAAAAATCATAATACAACGGTATTTTATACTACAAACCGAAGTTCAACGTTTTTATCGTATAAAAACAAAACTATGATAACTATTTAAATGTATTAGAAACTAACCTTAAACGGAAGCATAAAACCGGGAACGGTATATTTGTGTACTTTCTTGGCTTCGGGATTGGCCTGCTTCAATAGTCTAAATTCTTCTATTTTCTTAAACATTCCACGCATCATCAGCGAAGTATAGGTCCAAAAATACGTACCCCATGCAAACCTGCAATTTTCAATTTATTTATTATAATTATTATTATTGTATTGTATTTATACACAATATTTAAATGTAATACCTGTTTCAATCATCTCTATTATCAGCAAGCTTGTATACTGCAGCGGGAATGCACGTTTTAACGTCCCGTTCGTGGAGTCCCTTCAACATAAAAACAAGCTGGATAAACATCACAACATATTCATCTTGAACTGCCAAATAATTCGGAGACATAATGAAGTCTTCCAAATCTTTCAACCGCAAACGTGCATCAGAAATGTCTGGGAACAACCGAGCACGAAGATTTGAATCTGACCGACCTTTTTCGTCGTGGAGTAAATCCACATAAGGACCAACTTTTAAACCACAAATGATAAAATATTCAGTTTCACCAAAATCCAAATGCATCCCTTGTATATGAAAAAGAAACCTCCCCATTTCAAATACTTGTTGACACCTTACTTCGTGCAACATCATCAAATGCACAAGTAACGGATCACCATGTGGGATATGCATTCCTAGGAATACTCCGAACGGCGAAGCTTCGAATAATTGTCGTTGTGATTGTGTTAGGCGCGGAAAATAGTCTTTAATGATAGTACCCACCACACATTTTAAAGTTAAATCTGCTTTTTGATTGAGATCTTCGTGCTGCAAAACATAACATTTAATTTCATATAAAAGGGCAGGAAAAACAGCAGAAAAAAAATTAGAAAAATCAGTTTAAGGTCATTCTGCGGATAACCCTCTGTGGATTGACCAATACCTCCGTGGAGGCCCAATTTTATTCCATTTTATCATTCCGTGGAGAAAATACATCACTCCGTGGAGGGTCCTCTGCGGACCGACGTAACCCTCCGCGGAGTGACATACACCTCCACGGAATGGATCATACCCAATCGGAAACCTGTCAAACTCGATTTCATCTAAATCTGTATATTTTACCTATATATTCCATGTAATCAAATTGGTTTCCGCGGAATGCATGTCTATAGCCGGAAAAGTCATTTTTTATGACTAAATTTTGAAATTGACCACCATTTTTTTCTATTGGCGGTATTTTCCATTGTTTTATTAGTCCACCATGGTTTACTTCAGAACATGCATGTGGTAAAGTCTGTTCCAGCTAGAGACAAAGATCTTTGCAGGTTTCATGCTAGATGAATATGTTCATTTTCATGCTAGATGATTATGCCAAATTTGGGTTTTAATTTTTTTATTGCTTCAAAATTCAACATCTATTTTGGAGATTTGTGATCCATAATGAAGTTTGTTGATGAGCACTTAATCCTAACATTTTCCATATGTTCCTAAATGAACATATGTTTATATATGAATCAATCAAGTTCTTTTACTCATTTTCCATTCATGTTGATCATTCGTTGCTTTTGTATTCATAAATGTTTTAATGTTCAAATTCTAAACAAAATGACTTTATTATTCCATTTTAGTTAACAGATTCTTCATTTTATCCTTCACAACATTGCAAAATGATGCACCATCCAATTGGATCGATAAGACTTTTGAGAAAAGAATTGATGAAAAACAGTGGGAATTCAAGTGGAAAAATAATAAGAAAATTTGTTGTGTTTATGTTGATTGGATCAATGAACATTGTTCATTTAAGAACATATGTTCATATATGAACATAGGTTCATCTATGAACATTGATTGATATGTAATTGTTTTAGCATTTTTTACCAGCATAAAATAGTGTATTTCGCATGTAATAATTTATGTAATTTTTTTGAACTTTTATTATCTTCTTCATCTTCTCTCGTTTACATTGTGTAAAATGCTTTTCAACATTGTTCATTTATGAACATATGTTCATATATGAATATATATTCATGTATGAACATAGAACAATGTTCTTAATGAATGTATGTAATGTTTTTGAGCTTATTGTAAATATGAACTTACGTTCATTTATAAACATATGTTCATTTATCAACATTAAAGTTTTTTTTGACCATCATAACCTTTTTACCTGAATTTAATCTAAGGGAGATGCATGTGGTTATGTGTTGAACCTGCCCATATATATATATATAATAATATATATATATATATATATATATAATATATATATATATATATAATATATATATATATATATATATTGTAACACCATGTTTCGAGTCGTTTAACAATTCGGGGCCTTGTGTAACATCCTAAAATTTCATGACCAAAAATTTCGTTTTAAAACATTAAATAAAACCATAGTTATTGTAACAACGTAAATTTCCAAAACAATTTTTCATTTTAAAAACATACTCTCATTCATAAAATATCATAGTAATCCAATGTAACACATGTTATCTCAATAAACAAATCCCAAGATCCTCAAATACATAAATCCTCTCAGTGTGTACGGATCATGCCGGCGCCTTCCCGCGATCCTCGCTAGTACCTGAAACACATAACACAACAACTGTAAGCATAAATGCTTAGTGAGTTCCCCAAAATACCACATGCAACACATACGCCACTCGAGGCTACAATACGACCCTCCGGTCGATGTGTCTCAGCGGGACCCTCCAGTCCCGTAGCTTGTTGGACCCTCTGGTCCGGTCATAGCTCGCCGGACCCTTCGGTCCAGTCTGTGTCGTTGGACCCTTCGGTCCGGTCTATATCGTTGGGCCCTCCGGCCCGGTCTATTCAACACATAGCATACATATAACACAATGCACATAACTCATATATATACACATAGCATACAAGACCCTCTAGTCTACACATAAATACCACTCTAGGTAATGTATAGTGAGAAGACTCACCTCAATGAAATCGGATAAACTCTCGAGCTCAACATCCCGACTTAGCCTCCTCCTATTATTCAGATAACATCTCCCCGATCAATATTCACTCATGATCTCATCTCTACAGATTGGGTAGAAGGCCATTCTACCCTTCCCTGAACTCTCTTGAATCAGTCTTGACCAGAACCCTAAAGTCAACGGTCAACTTTGACCCGACTCGTCGAGTGCACAAGGGCTACTCGGCGAGTCCATGCGGGTCCTCTGAATCCTTTCAGCCTCTCTTGGCTCGTCGAGTCATCCTTCCACTCGACGGGTTACACCTGTCACGAATCGCGGGCAACCCCGACTCGACTCGTCGAGTCCACTTATGGACTCGGCGAGTTGCCTCCATGTTCATCCTCAAATGACCTCCTAAGGTCAGATCTGTTTCCCTAACTATCAGATCTACCCTTCAAATGTTCAAATGTCACGTAAAGGTGCAACCTTTAGGTGCATGCAATCCACAACAAGTCATAAATGGAGAAATAACTCTAAAAATGGCAACCTAGTCCCCAATCTTTCATTTGCTTGCATAAAGCTGAGGGATAGTGACTCTATGGACCTCTCATGGTCCATATCTGATGCTATTAACACAAAGGGGGCCTCATACTCACTAGATCTTACATAAAATGGAGGTAAAAACCCTAAAATCATGAAATATATCATATCAACACGAAATAGAAGGGATTATACCTCCAGAGATGAACTCTCAAGATGATTAGCCCAGATCCAAGCTCCCTTCACGCTCTAGATGGGTGTTTCCCTTCTTCCTTCTAGCAAAACTACAACACCAAAAGATGTATTAGCCTCTTCTTGCTCTCAACTCTCTCACTGCTCTCTCTAGGGTTTCTCTGGGGTGCATTGGCCGCAAATGGAGGCCATAAAGGCCTTTAAATAGGGCACATGCCCAGGGATTTAGGGTTTCACTTTACAACGCAGACTCGCCGAGTCCACGTATCTACTCGTCGAGTCTGGTCATTAATCCAGTCAAGAACTCGCGATCCTACTCGGCGAGTCTGAGCGTCTACTCGCCGAGTCCCTCCATAAAACCTAAAATAAATAACTAAAATAAGATACCTGGGAATCCGGATGTTACAATTCTCCCCCACTAGAATCAGACTTCGCCCTCGAAGTCTTGCCCAGCAAACAACTATGGATGCTGCTCCCGCATCTCCAACTCCGGCTCCCAAGTCAGCTCGGACCCACTCCGATGTTGCCACTGGACCTGAACCAGGGGCACCTCCTTGTTCCTCAGAACCTTGATTATCCGATCCAAAATCGCGATCGGTTCCTCAACATAATTCTGTTGGGTTTTGAGAATTCTAACACTCCTATGGTGTACATGCAACCCTATAAACCTTGGATCTATGTTTTCTCTATTATACATGCAAATATTAACTATTCCAAGGTTTCATGCTAACTAGCATATGATGAAGCACCTATACTACAAAGTTCTAGTTATATGACATACCTTTTGATGTAGCTTGATGTCTTCAAGCTTTAAGAGCTTAG